AGTAGAAGTTTTTTTTGAATATTTGGATGGGTAAGAATTAATGTTTCAGATTTTATCACTCAAATTGATTTTATGATAGTGTGTGCTTATGAAAGCTAATTTTCACAAATTTTGTACAATTAAGTATTTTCATTAATGACAACCTGTTGATTATCTTGATGAATAACATTTATTGACTGTCATTGTTTTATATAAAATCCTAAAGAAAAATAATTTTGATTAACGGCACGGATAATTGGGTGAATGACACTTACTTTTGTAAAAAATATTTAGATTCTTAATCGACACTCCAAAAGATTAAAACTTTTGAGTTGTACCTTTAATTGGACACAAAGATAACAATATGGTTTAAAATAATAAATTTATTATTTTATCTAACATAGTTTGCATCGAAGTCTTTATATTTTTCCTAAATTTATCCTCAATCATTCAAACATTATTCAATTTTAAAACATTTTGCAGTCAAATCTTATACTAAATTTTATTAAAATTGGACATATTGTTATATTTTAATGTGATTGAGGGTATAATTTGATAATTTTAATTGTTTTAAAATGTGATGGAAGAATCTAAAAATGTTGGATGGAGCTATTCTCATCACTTAAATCTCTTTTCCCACTCTATTTAATCATCTTACTTCAAATTACTAAGTTCACCCAATTTATACCCATATAATTAAACTATTAAATATATATCAAAAAAACTGAAAACAAAAATAGTAATTAAAGTGAAATTTCAATGTTCCAAATGATCCATAATATTTTGAGGTGTTTTGAGATATTTTTGACATATTTTTACCAACATATTCGAAATATTTTGAGCTATTTGAAAATATTTTAGTATATTTTTACTAATATTTTAAAAATAACTTATTTTTATTTATTTATTTTTATTTTATTTTAAAAATATTTTCATATTCAAATAGTATATCGAAATAAAATTTGGATCATTGCCTAAATAGTAGATTGAAATAAAATTGAATGAAATTAATTTTTAATTAGTGAATATAGATGGTGTGAGTTTAGTAAGTGATGAGTGGATATATATAGAGTGAATTAGTAGTTTGATGTAAAAGAATTAAATAGAGTGAAAACAAAGATTTAAGCGATGGGAGTTGCCCAACCCAAAAAATGTTGAGCGAATTACAGATAAGTATTACTTTTCCCCAAAAATAACCATTAAGTTTTATCATTTTTGTTTTATATCATTGAAGTTTTATTCTTGATATTTTATTTCATTTAAGTCCTAAATTTTATTATATTTTAAATTTATCCTTATCCTTTAGTTATAAAAACCCTTTTATTTTTTTGCAATCTTAGAATCAATTAAGTGGACAAAAATTCATTACTTATAAAATTAACATCGAAATCCATAAAAAAAACTCAACTAACCTAAATTTCATGGCAGAACCTAAAGAAAGCTGAGGTAATATTTATAGATTATTTAATAAAATAAGAAAAGGCTAAAAAAATTACATCGATATTTTGTGTTAATTAATTTCATTTTATTGTCGTTTTTTATTCAAACAAAACAATTAAAATAAATCCATGACTTAATCATTTTAAATCCAATATAAGTTAACAGATTAATCTAAAACCACATAGATAATATATGAATAGAATATGTAATATAATAATATTACTTTAATCAAAGTAAAAATTAGCTTATTGTGATTAAAAAAACACATCGTATATCAATTAAAAAACCCGCAAGGGTCAACCGCAAATGTTGACATACTAGAAGGAATGTAACGTCATATAACAATTAAAATGTCCCAAGAGTGTCTCGCCGAGTTTATATAAAAATGTAAAAAAAAAAAAATTTGGTGACTAAAAGGTAAAGATAAAATTAGAATATAATAAAATTAGGACTTACTTGAAATAAAATATTAAAAATAAAATTTTTTTGATATAAAACAAAAATGATAAGATTTAATAAATATTTATGGAGAAAAATAATATTTACTGGTAAGTTTTTTAAAAATGTTTTTGGACGCAGAACTTTATTCACCCTAGGTATTTTTTGAAACACTTTTCCCTTACCCTTCACTGACGTTTGGATCTTCAAGTGGCCTTTAATTGGGGAGGAGCCAGATCTTAGAAAAAAAGAAACCAACGGGTAATACATAAAAACCTGAGAGAGAGAGAGAGAGAGAGAGAGAGGGATGGGAGAATGAAAAAAGGGAACAACGCAACGGTGACAGTAATTCGGTCTCTGAACCGCCAAAGGACCGGCCTGTTCGCGTTTATGCAGACGGAATATACGATCTCTTCCACTTCGGTCACGCTCGTTCCCTCGAACAAGCCAAGAAATCGTAAAATAACTATTTCAGTTTCTCTGTTTCTGTTATTCGAATTGGGTTTTTTTTATTAAACAGGTATATCTGTTCTTTTTGGGTTGTTCTTAATTTCTTCCATTTCCTTTGTTTCTTTGGGTTCTGGATGTAAATACAATTATTGTTTTGATTGTGGTGGTCTGATATGCTTATATTTTTTTTTGTTGTGTATATGCTTTGTTCCCTTTGCTTTTGTTTGGGTCAGGAACGGTGCAATATGAGTGAAAAGTGATGGATTTGAGGATAAAAAAATCAATATGAATGGTTTTGAGAGGTTATCGTTGGTTGTTGAGGCTATTTGAGATCATCAGATAGACTTATTGAAGCTTGCCTATGATATTATACTATAGATATAGATGTCCCATTATTTGTTGTAACATTTCTTGTAATTGCAGATTTTATGTTGGTTTTTTGCGTTGGATAGCAATAAATGTATTCTAAAATAGTAAATGAGAACCGTGAAGTATAAAAGTTACAGTTGGTTTCAATATGGTTTCCTTATGGGACCCTTATATATATATATATTTTTGGAACTTAATGTTTTTGGATTTCAAGCAATTCCAATGCTCTGTAATCAAGCTCTTTACTGTTGGTAGTTTGTTAAGATTTGAAGGTGAAATTTTGGGGCTGATTGTCTTTTTGGAAAGCAACAAGGACAGTTATGTCTTCATTGCACTTGCCAAAGAGGAAGTGTCTTTGTTGCGCAATGTGTATTCTCAATTCTTGTGCTTGTAAGCTTTGTGAATGACAAGCACGCTGGCTTTTGTCCTTTGGTTGTAGCTTGTAAAGTGTGTCATCCATCTGTTATTGGGGGTGCCAGTGGCAATACCCAGCACTCCCCATGAGATAAATGTCAGCATAAGCATGCATTTTTTTCCTGTCAGTTATAGTTATGATTGGGAAATTGTTTATTCTCTCCTCTCCTTGAAAGGATTGTGAAGAACTTCCTCGCAGAAATGGTAAATTTTAGATCGTATTTCCATATTTTCAACCAACTTCCTAGATTGACTTTTTAATGCAATTTAGATTATTAGTTCCTCTGTTTTTTAAAAGGCTTTATGAGCTCATTGATTCTTTAGTTCTAAATTCCATATGATTTATTAATTCGTGTCTAGATATATAAATTGTATTATGTATGTATGAATGCTTGTGGTACGTCTCTATGTGCATAACTGCATGTCTATAGTGAGATACAATTAAATTATTTTTTTTTGAAATTCCTTCTCAATTCTTATTTCTGCTTATGTATTTGGTCTTAATTTAGCAATTTCAGACATTATTTCTTATCCTGTAATTCCTATTGTATTTTGCGAAGCAGTACATGGCTACATGGAATACATTTGCATGGTTTTCTTGAAGTATCTGCTGGATGATTTTTTATTCATATTTGTGCAAAATAATTATGTTTATTTGTGTATAAGGCCAGTTGTTTTGTGCATTAACGTCAAATGTTAAGTTTTTCTTCTGTCTACCCTTTTAAATGTCCTCCTTTGGTATGACTAACATTAGCTAATGACCATTTGAGTCATTGCTTGTGCATTCATTAAGTGGGTTGAGACTTGAGAAGCATGAGAACTTGGCTAGAGTATTCGGGAAGCAACATTGTGCACAACTGCACAAAATACAAAAGTTTGTCATTGGATCATGGGACACATGCAATGCTTTTGATCCCAATATCTCTGTTCTAGCACACTCAGTTATCAGGAGCAGCGTTGGTGGTGTTTGTTTTTGTCCCCCTTTGGTTGTGGTGTTATAAAATCCAGAATGGCAATGTCTAATGTGTAGATTAGACGAATGTGTAAAGATTGCATTATGAGTAATCTGTCTTTGAATATCAAGTCAGGGTTTGAAAAATGAAACAATGTAGTTACATGAACAGCATTAAAATCTGTAACAGGGAAATGCATTACCCTCTGAGTTGAGTTCTACTAGTAGGGCTTCCAAGCTGTTTGTTTGATATGGTGATTCTTGGCTCTGTTGATTTAGTTCTAGATTTTCACTTGCAATTCTAGCATTTTATCCTTCTAAAGTGATCTTATTGCGAGTCCAATTACAAACAAATAGATCTCAAGGTAGCGTGTATCATTTACCACAGTTCAATACTAACAGTGCTTCCTCTATTCCTGAAGAATATGCAAGATCCACAATTTAAAGAGCTATTCCCTGCCCACGTTTATGTTTTTAAGAATGCTTTCTGTGTTTTAGTGAGAAAGGATCAATGAGTTAGGAAATTGCTCCCCGGTTTTGAATGATATGACCCTCAAGTTCCAATCAGCGACTGTCAATTACAAATGCCATCAGTTTTTACCTTTTCATCTGAAATTTCTAGACAATGTTAAATTTATTTTGCCTTAAAAGCATACAGGTATGAAAACAACACATTTAATGTTTTATTATTTGGAATGGAATGGAAGAAATCTGAGTATTTTTGTTTTGTACTTTTATTGGCAGCACTGAATGTTTTTGCTTTTATATCTGGAAAATAAGTTATATTGGAATAAGACTTCGTTGAGTTGAGTTGGGTATTTGGAAAATAAGTTAGTGAAGTTTATGCTTTATGACAGTAGGTCTTAATAAATGCTTACAATGTAGGTTCCCCAACACTTATTTGCTTGTTGGATGCTGCAATGATGAAGTTACCCACAAATTCAAAGGAAAAACAGTCATGACCGACAAAGAGCGCTATGAATCTCTCAGGCACTGCAGGTTGGTTGGGTGTGAATATCTAAAATCTGCAATTGGTGTTTCGATGTTTCAGGATATTGATTTTATCTTAGCTTGAGAGAATTAAAAGCTGCTTACGATTCTAAACTTATTCTTTTGGGTATTTGATGCCCATTTTGACTAATGGGGTAATATTAAGAACAAAAGATTAGTATGTGCATACATTAGGTATAGACTTCCGCTAAGAGATTTTAGCTGGATTGTGTATTGTGTATTGCTCTTTCCTCTTCCTAAGGGCTTATGTAGCAATACCATCACATGAATCGTAAATGCATCTTTATTGATGAGCGTGATAGCGATGTGCTTTGCCTTTTGGTTCTGAACTAGGAAGCATGGAGACTTCCTGGAGGGGTGCCGTGGCAGTATCGGATACGTGCCCGACACGGACACGTGCCCGACACGGACACGTGTCGAACACTGTTAGAAGGGTCCTGAATAGGGAACACAGTCGGACATGGTTTCGATTTTTTTTTAAATGATAGTTAATTATTGAAAGGGGAGTGATTTCTATTTTTCTAAATAAATATTTTTTTTGTTATGTAACTTATATACTATGAATGTTAATGGATGTAATGATGTTTGATGAAAATGGTGGATATTTAGTTTGAACTATTTTAATTTTAATCAAAAAAATAATATTTACTAGGTCTTATTATTATAATATATGCTTTATTTTTAATATATTATAACTCTATTATTATTTAAAAAATATATTATATTATTTTAATAGCCGTACTGTATCCGTTTCTTATATTTTCGATCTTTGTCGTATCCCCGTGTCTTTATCCGTGTGTCCAGGTTTTGAACTTCTTAGAGCTTTTAAGTCGGAACTTAGTATTTTACTTATGATTTGTTGGTGTAGCATTTGGGTGTCACACTGTCCAATGGTAGCTCAAATCAGCAGGATAATGTGTGTTAAACTTTGCCTTTCTTTTGATGCAGGTGGGTTGATGAAGTCATTCCTGATGCACCATGGGTGCTTACAGAGGAGTTCCTTGACAAACATCAGATTGACTATGTGGCACATGATTCTCTTCCGTAAGTTTAACCTGCTCAAAACTGCTTTTGGATTGTTTCTTTCTGTTACGGTCCTGTTTGTTTTGCTAGGGAACAGTTACTGAAAGGATTATTCTGGAAATTATTTTTCTCTTGAAGAGTCATTTATTATGTGCAGTTACATGGTGAAGGTTGGACTAACTTACGTCTTTCCTATTAGATATGGGAAAAATATTTCCCACCCCTGAATTTATATTGTCCTTTGGAAAAAAATTTCCCTGATGGTACTTCTCCTTGCTATATGCTGAAACTGGGGACTATTTTTGGCTAGACTTTCATTTTTAGGCAAGCAATGGTTTAATGATATGCCTTATGGACTAGTTTCTTGCTTTTTTTTTAGTATTTTTTTTTCTGAAATTTTTTTTCCCTTTCATGGCATGTTCATGAATAACTTTTCTCCGGGTGTTAACTTTTCAGTGAGTCTACATGTCTATTTATGCTTTTTCTATTTTATTCACCTTCTTGCGTTCCCTTGTTTGTATATTACAAGCTTGTTCTGTTTGTTACTTATTTGAGTCTTGGCATGTGTCATTTAATAATTACCTTGACGAACCTAATTTATGGTTTACCATCATATTAACTTATCCCCCAAAATATTGGGACAAGGCTTTGTTAAATTGAGTACTTGAGTTAGTTGTCATATTAACTTGTCATATTTGATGAGTAAAGTACTTAGTTGGCCCCTATAGTATACCAAACTTTCTATTCAGCCCTTAAACTCTATTCTGTTTTACTTTACCCTCCAAGTCTTTAGTTTGATGCAATAAAACTCTTTGTCCAGTTGAGTCAATTTGTTTACTGAAAGGACACAATTGCCTTTCCTGTGTTATTTCCTCCAGGGGTATTTTAAACAAAACAACCTATCTTAATTACCCAAACCTAATACCCAACGGCCAGCACTGTGAGCCCAACCAACCAGTCCCTGCCTCTTCTATGGTAACAATATCTATGAACTAGTCCAATTGTTAGAGAATACAGAAAGAGAGACAAATTTTCTGTCTCAATAAACCAACAAGTTAAACGAAATTCATGTCAATTACACTACAATTTAATTTATCAACTACAGTTTCTCTGTGAATATGCAACAAAGTAAACTAATTGCAAACATATTAACTTGAGAGGAGGATGTGATTGTGTAGTTCCATCTGCACTATTAGATGAGAGGTGGGTGAATTACATATATCTCCACATCTATGGTTAGGAAACACAATAAGTGGATCAATAACAAGGTCCCATTATTGTTGCAAATAGACCACATTACTGATTTGACATGTCTTAATAGCAACTACACCAATGTATTTTGTGAGTTTTCGAGACTTTCCACGAAATCCATGAACAAGCTAATTTGAAAGATAAAAAGCCTATGTTCTTGACAAAAACTCTATTTTCTTGCATTTGTCTAGATGTTTGTTAAGTGTTTTAGAGTTTACACTAGACTGAGAATGAAGAAGATCTATTTTGTAGCATTTTGAGGCCCTACCAATCCTACCATAACTATTGAGTTTGAGCAAGATCTTACTCCTACATCTGTAAGGTACACTTTGAGATGGGTACTTCCTATTGAGGATTAAAATTTTGTTTCGATGTATAGTTTCGGTCAACTTGTAAGTAGAAACTTTCAAAAATATTTTGGAAAAAAAAGAGAAAAAAATTAGAAGTTTGTTTGCGAAACATCAATCGGAACATACGAAACATTGATTCAAACATACCGAAACAACCGGGAACATCACGAAACATAGGATTTCAACATTTTATAACAAATATGTTTTGGTTTTCATGGAAATAAAAACTTTTTAGATGTTTCGAAGTGAAATTTATTTCCTTGCTCCCGGTCTTTAGTCTTACATCACAATTTTTCAGTGCTTTAACGAATTCCCACAGACGAAGCTCGGTTTGGAAGCGGCAAGGGATTTTGGAGGATGATGGGGGTGACGTGGGTGATGACTAGATGTCAAGCTTGGTCTCGTTTTACATGAAAAGTGAGCATAAAGAATTGGGAAAACAAGAGGTCGTAGCTTGTTTCCATGGTTTGAAAGTGAAAATATCAAGCTTGAAAACTTAGATCAAACAATACAAAGAAGAGAGAAATTGTTTTTAAGTATCTCTCTCATATTCCATTAGTTACTTAAGTATGAGAGGAAATATAAAACCTTACACCAAAGAAAAGACTAAACTACCCCTAATTAATTAGACAAAGATAATATACATTCTTAACACCCCCTTGAACTCATGAAAGGAAGCATTGAGATTTAAAAGTTTGTCAAGAAGAAAATGAAAACACATAGTGGTATGCGCCTTCGTAAAAAAGTCAACTAACTAGATAGTAGAAGAAACAAAAGGCAAGGAATAGTCTCAAGTTGAAAATAGGGGCATAGAAAATGATAATCAGTTTCGATATGCTTGTGGAAAATAGAATTGTGTGCAATCTAAATGACATTCTTGTTGTCACAATACATGGTAATGGAGTAGAAAATGACCCTCCTAAAACAACAAGCAACAATCTCAACAAAGCTATATCTAATGTAGTTGTAGCCATAGCATGATGTTGAGCATCAACTATAGAACGAGTAACAACAGTCTGTTCCATGTTTTTCTAAGAGAAGGCTATAATTTGGAACGACAGAGAAACCAGTGGTGGATTCTGATCCATGAAATCATTTGCCCGATTAATATCAGAAAAGACATGAAACTTTAAAGAAGACGTGGAAGAAAACAATAAACTTTGATGCAAAGTCCCTTGAAGATATCTCAAAATGTGAACAACTGCAGTTCTGTGAACTATGGTCGGAGAAGAGACAAATTGACTCTCAACATGAACGACATAAGCAATATCAGCTTGTATAACAGTGAGATATACAAAAATACCAACAAGAACCCAATATATAGCAGGATCATCTATAGGGATACCATAAGTAGAAGTGTGTACACATTAAGCTCGATAAGAGTCTCAATAGAGTCTGTTTTACAAGCTCTATGGATAACATTATTTGCATACTTTGATTGAGAAAGAAGATTACTCTTAGGAGACGAAGTCACTTCAATACCCAGAAAATATTGGAGAGGAATAAAATATTTCATCTCAAATTGCTGCTGTAACTGAGCCTTCAAGACTGAAATGCCTTTGTAATCACCCCCAACAATATCATCTCATATCATCATTATATAAGAGAAGATTAGTTTGACCCGCGGAAGTAGAATGAATAAAAATAGCATAATCATAATCATTTAAATGAAAGCTTAAGTCATAGATTGAGGCAAAGAACTTCTCAAACTAAGTCCTAGGAACTTGCTTGAGACTATATAAAGCTTTTCTCAGTTTTCATACCTCCCCCAGAACATGAGGGAGACTAGGAGGAGGAACCATGTAAACTTATACTAAATCATCATTTAGAAAAGTATTATTGACATCCATCTGAGACAACTTCCATTGAAGAGTGGTTGTATTGTAATTGAAGTATGAATAGTTTTCATCTTTGCAACAGGAGCAAAAGTTTCCTCTTAATCAATGCCATATTCTTCAACAAAATCCTAAGCAACCAAACGAGTTTTGTAGCATTCAATAGAGCTACTAATCTTAGTTTTAATCTTATATACCCTTTGATAACGAACAACATGTTTACCAGTAGTAAAAGCACAAGATCCCATGTCTCAGTTTTATTCATTGCTAAAAATTCTTCATTCCTAACATGTTTCAAAATATGATCAAGATAAGCCAGCTTATAGGCAGTAGGTTCAAACAAAGAGTGAATAAAAGATAAAAATGAACAAAAATTAGAGGAATAATAAGAGTTGGAAAATTAAAGACGATGATGACAGTTATGAATACGGTTAGGATAGTGATAAAAGGGAGGATTTGCATCATCAAAAGTTGACAAAGACACAACCGAAAGAGGTAAAGAAGATGTACCAGCAAAGTAGTTAGTCTTGTCAGTCTTGCCTGCCAATGAATTAGCCTTATTCTACGACACAAGTGTGAACAATAGGAGGATTCAATGATTGAAGATTGAGACGAAAAGAGAATGTTAGAAGTGAGCATGTCATGAACATATGAATCCTAAAAATATATTTAGGGAAAGGGTCAATATAAATAAGATTTGATTTATTGAAAATGTCAGAAGTAGTAGGAATGGGAAAAAAAAATATATATGCTCAAGAAAGATCACATATCTAGACAAACACAATCTTTTGGCAACAGGATCATAATGATACCTAACCCTAAAGAAACACACACATAGCATAATTCGTAACTAATTGATTTTATTCAGCTTTGGGAAGAATAATAAAACAAGTGCAACTAAATTCAAATAATGAGAAGTTGTTAGGAGGTTTACCACATAACTAAAAGACATCATAATAAGGATCAAAATATCGTTTCGGTGAATTATTTCGGTCAATAAAAAAATGTAAACATTTTGAAAATGTTTAAGAAACATAATGGAAATAGATAAAAAATTTAGTGATTTATTTTCAAGACATTTCAAAGTATTGGTTTAAAATATTTAAAGATCTTGAAACATCTCGAAACATTCCAAAACATTAGTGTAAACATACTTAAACACCTAGTGGTTGGTGTTTGTGATCCTGGTTGCAATAGGCTTAGATTAGAAGATGGGAGAGAGAAGGTGGCTTAGAATAAAAAGATTTGAATACGTTTTCTGTCTTTAATTATACAGAAGGACAACTCTGGTACTACACATGTGAAGTGCTAATGTCATAAATTTTGCTTTGATCATCCTAATGGGTAACTGTTATTTTACTTGAAACCCAAAGGGGTTGAGTGTAACTATCTAAACTTCAAGGGGTGTTTCGGGGGTTTTTCTTGTTAGGAAGGGTCTTGGTGGTGGAGGTCGCTAGTGCAGGGGCTGGTGGTGGTCCTGGTTGTAATAGGCTTAGAAAAGAAAGGGTGGGTGGGATTGGGGATGGTGGTGGTGATGGTGATGGTGATGGTGATGGTGATGGTGATGTTTTTATTTTCTTGTAAATTTTCAGTTTTATTTTTTTATATTTTTTCATTTACTTTTATATAAAGTAAAACAGGTTTTTTGATTTTTTTACATTTTTCTATTTTGATTAAAGTAAAGATTGAATACATTTTTTATTTTATGTATATGTATAGAGAAGGACAATTCTGGCACTACACTTGCAAAAATGCCAACATCATACATTTTGTGTCAATCATCCTAATGGGTAATCGTAATTGTTATTTGACCTGAAAGCCAAAAGGGTTGAATGTAATTACTTGAACTTCAAGGAGTGTTTTTTTGATTTCTCCGATAGCAAATCAGCATTTTTCCTCTATAGGGCTTTGAAACACCAAATGTAATGTCTTAATTACACAATTTTATGTTGTCAAGCTCATTTTCCATTATACGACTGAATATGTTAAGTCTTTCTTGTTTGTCTATATTCCAGTTATGCCGATGCAAGTGGAGCTGGCAAAGATGTTTACGAGTTTGTAAGTTCCTAGTATAATTGAATTATATCATCTATGATTATCTGACTTTGCTGCATTAGCTGTACTTCTTTATGGGTTTTTCATTCGGTCGTTCATTCATTGCTGGCAGAAGATGTGTAAGTCTAAGAATACACTTATGCAATCTATGATTATCTGCTTTAGGTGCAGTAGCTATACTTTTTGTGTGCTTCCCATTCGTTTATCCATCAGATTATGTTTCAAGTCAGAATAACTTTAGCCAACTTTGTGGGTTTACTGAACGGTTTGGTTTTGCCTTGCATAACTAATGCCATATTTTCAGTTTGCTCTCTTACATTAGGATTCTTTTCCTATTTTATATGACCTTTTTTGGACTTCCAGTTTCTATGTTTCTTTTTGGCTACATAATTATAATGGTGGCGACTGTATTTTGCCGCTTATTTATTCTATCACAATGCATGCCTGGTTTGATTTGGATGTATGTTGATTGTTGACATAAGTCTCCCTGTTTAGGTCAAGTCCATTGGGAAATTTAAGGAGACAAAACGAACTGAAGGGATATCCACATCAGATATAATAATGAGGATTGTCAAAGACTACAATGAATATGTGATGCGCAACTTGGACCGAGGATACTCGAGAAAAGAACTTGGGGTTAGTTATGTGAAGGTATACTCCTACTCATGCAGTAACAAGTGCACATACCATTCAAGTTCATTAAAGCTTTTTTTTTTTAATTTTGTTCTTCAGCTGGCTTCTTAGTATCTTTTCCTGTAAGAGTGCTGATCCTACTCTGTTTTATCAGGAAAAGAGGTTGAGAGTGAACAGGGGGTTAAAGACGTTGCAAGAGAAAGTGAAAAAACAACAAGAAAAAGTGGGAGAGATTCGAGAGAAGGTATGCATGTCTTGAAAAAGGCGATGATTTTTTTTTGAGCTTACAAGGGACAAAACAGTGATATGATGACTTTCAATTTATTTTGGGTATCAAGGGTATTTTAGCAATCTTAATAATCCAGGGGTCATTTAGATCAAGGGTTTTTGTCATTTGATCTAACTAAGGAGTTAGGAAGGAGGAGAATGATATGGAAGTGGAAAGGGATTATAATAGACAAATCTAGGCGGTTAAATGTGGTAGAAAGTTATAACTGGTTACCTGTGGTAGAAGGGTCGTTATAGGTGATTGAATTGAATGAAAGAAACATGAGATATTAGTAATGGACTTGTAATTAACCACTAATAACTACGAATAAAAGGGAGAGGACACCAAATTCCGTTATGTAGTGCCTATTTATTTTTCTTTGATAAAGTGGTATTTCCATGAGCTAGTTCTGTGAGCCAAGTTTGAAGACTAAGGCTACATGCCACCGAGACTTCTTGATCACCATGTATATTGGCTTCAAGCTATGGCTATACATGTCATAGTATTGAATTTTTTTTAATAAATAGTAAAGTGATATTTGAACTGTTGATTACTAAGCCTTTGTTTGAGGTCTTTCTTTCTCAGGGTCAATGGGGAGCCCCATTGGTCTTGGACATAGGTCACAGGCTGGAGTCTTACATGGAAATTGCTAGTTGTCTGAACATCAGATCTATCCAGCTTTCTGCCTTGAATTAGTTCATTCCGCTCCAGTGATACTTGTAGCTTTGGCTTCTTTACTCTGGGCTACATAATGTTTATTGGTTGTAGGTCTTTCCAGTAGACAGCATTGTTGCAGTCCGGTTATGTTGAATTTACTGTCATAACCTTCATTGTATTATCCTAGCAAGAATACTTAGAAAAGGTTACATTATTGGCCCCTCCCTCTATTATTGATTTTAGTTTCAAAACTAAGTGGAGATAAACTAAGCCATTTGGATTAGAAGTGTGTGGGTGTCAATATAGATGATATGCAGATACTAAACTTTGGACAATGGTGAAATGGTTGTTTTAAGATAAAATGTGCAAGTTCAAACTAATATCTGATGCATGGAATTTAGGACCTTCCCGAATTCTTCTACATTTTCCTACCACATCACTTCGATTATTGAATACAAATTATAATAAATAATAGGGTGATAGAAATAATTTCTTTAAACAAATTTAATTGAGTGGTAGTTAATTGGTGGGGTATAGGGATGGTTGCATGGGACATGTGACACAATGTGATTTGATCAAATCTTTTGGGGTATGATTATATAAATGAAAATTTTAACAAAAAGGAAAATAGGGAGGGAAGGCTTCTCAAGTTGTCTCTCCTTTAAATTTATTGTAATAATGTATAGTACTGATTAGATATTTTGAATTGGCTATAACATAAATTTATATTTGTTATTCATGTAGTATTATGGTAATAACTACATTTCATTAAATAATGCCAGATTTTATTTTGGGCTGTCTAGACTTTATTTTCGTTAAATAAGTGCATGCTATTTGGAACATCTAAAACTATCATTCGGTGTTATCAGAATTATATCTCAGAAAATGGCAAGATGCTAAGGCCCTCTAAAATTTCTTTGAATTCTTTTTTCTGATATAAAACGTCAGCTTTAGTGGTGAAGTTTGTAGTACTTGTGAACAGCCATGCTTTGCAAACTTATGTTCTCAGTACATGACAAGATGCTAAGGCCTTTAAATTTTCTTTAGAATTCTTTCTAATACAGAATTTAGCTCATGCACTAAAGTTTGTAGAGCTTGTAAACAGCTACGTTTGTATGAACAATGTGAGACGTAACTAGGCTTTATAGGATTTTTTGGTTGTAGAATGCGAGTTTTGTATTCAGCTCAGTTGTTTTTTCGGCAACCTGGGCGTTTGTCTTTGAATTTCTCTTGAAAAACTGAGAGAATATTGTAGGACAAATACAATTGTTCGAAAGATAGTTGAAGCATGTTGATTGGAAAGATTTTAGGTTTGGTATGCGTTGAAAATACAAAGGCAAAATTAGATTTTAGAAAATGCAAATCACTTATGCATCAACTGAGGATCAAATTTTCATTTCAGGGTATTGTTTTGGCTGGCTAGAGGTGTCTGGAAGCATGATTTAAATTGTGACAAGAAATTGGAAATGCATGGGAACCTTTGGAAAGATTAAGTTAAACATGTTTTTTATACTAACAAATGAACAGAAGATTAATTAAGTACATCTTAAGCCTACTAATGGGATCTGTTTTAGTGGTCTACGGTATGGTAGTACCAGAGAGCTTAATATACACGAACAAACTCACGGGTCTGACTTTATTTATGTTACCTCAAGTATTGAAGTTGGCGGTTTATTTGGAGAAGTGTAAATGAAGTATAAACAAGTAATATCTTATAGTATCCAGTCAATATGATCATCTTGTATTCCATGTGATGGATCATTTAATGATGGTTGGTCTCATGGGGAGTACTGATCGGGCCACTAACCATTGCTTGGCGAGGCTCATTTTATGGTGAATGAGTAGGAAGAAGAAGATCACACATTTCTGCCCTTTCTCTTGTACTTCTCCCCGTCGTGTATTAGTAGTTGTTTTCCGTCAAAAAAAGAGGGGCTTGGATCATAAACCAAAATGTCCCTGTTTTGGACAAAACCTATGATTTTTAAATTTCTAGGCCCTTTCTGTGTTCTCAGGGGACTTCTTGCTTTTAGCGAGGACGGAAATCTTGTATTGATTAGGCGGAAAAATCAATATAACTGTTGGGGTATTACGGACTCTTACTGTCTACAAGAAGAGAGATAGATTGGGTCATTTCTCATCGGTGGAGCAGCATGTGTGATATGTATACTCCTCAAAACAAATGTTCTGGCTTTCAAAGGATGAGTAAGGGAGGGGGATGAGGAAGGGACAAAGCCATTGGATTTGAAAGTTTAGCCCTACCTATGATAGAGTATCCTTTCCCCGCCGTGGGCATATAGAAACATGGGTAGAGGAAGCCTCAAAAAGCAAAGGCTGAGTTGAAGGTCATGTGATTGGCACCAAGTTGGTGGCTTACTTGTCCACTTTCACCCTTGTCAACTAATGGGGAAGTTTAAACAATTATGAGAAGTTGTAGAGGATAAAAACTAATTTTTCTGGAAAAAAAATTAAATTAATGGTGTTTAATTGGTGAGAGAGTGGAAGAGTGATTATAGGAGCTAAGTGTTGAATGGTGATTGGAGGGAGTCTTAGTTTTTAATGAAAAAATCAAAATTCTAAGAATCTAGGAAATAAGGAGGGAAGGATTCTAAAGTCATCTGCTCCCTAATTTGTTTGTTATATATATAGATTGGTTCTGTATTAATAGGTTGAGAGTGAAAAAATTGATCTATCTTTACTTCTATAACCAATCATAAATTTTTGCTCCATACTGCATGAATAGTTGTTAACTTCATCGACCATTATCATATTTATCATCATAAATTTGCATTGCCAATCTATGAAACACGGACACGGATACGAGATACGGATACGACATAACATAGACACGCCAATATGACATTTCTTTAAAAGTAGGACAAAGACACATTGGGGACATTCTAAAAAAATTAGTATTTTATATATAACATTATATAATTTATTGTAAATAAAGTGATAATGATATACAATTCATAAAAGATTTAGTATTTTATGATAAATAAATCTTCTAGTCATCTATGTGAATTTTTAGACTAAAACATCCTCATAATAGTCAAATTTTTTTGTAGGTAATGTGTATTTAATATATAATTTAAATAATTGTTCTTCTTTTCTCAATTCCTCTTTTTTAAACCTTTATTGCATCTTTTGTTTTTATTATTATATTTGGAGTACAACTTTAACATGTCTAGTATTAGTAATTATATGTTATCAAATTTTTAAGTTTTGTCAATCACGTTTAACATATGTTTATTGTTTAGTAGTAGACATGTTCGATAGAAGTGTCGGACACATCACCAATGAAGTGTCAGACGTCTGTCTGAAATAAAAATTTTATCATTTAATTATAGTGATTTATAAAAGAGTATCAGACACGTGTCCGAGAGTATCCGAAGAATGTTGGCGTTTGACACGTGTCCGACACAGATACGTCATCTTCTCGAGAGTGTCCGTGCTTCATAATTGCTAGTTGCTACCGTGTGGATCGTCATCCCAATCCTTAGCATTGGTAGAAAATTCAAATTGGCAATGGTAAAAATTATGGCTTCAAAGAAGATATGCATATGGGTGAGTCATCTTGATGCAAAGCATGTAGAAGTGTTTTTACAAGTCCTTGAACATCTTACAAAGACCAAAATTAGACATTGCATGTGGTCATCTAATCAAATTATTTGTGTCTTTTTTTTTCCAATTCTTTTGGGTCTGACTTGTTTTCTAAGTTAGGCGTGTAAGTTTTAATTAAGGCTCAAAGGTATGTTTTTATTGTTTAAACTTGTGGATTTTAAGTGGGCGTATGACCTTTGAAGCGTTGTTTGATTGTATTTTCCTCTTACGTAAGCTGCACTAATTTATTGCCGTTACATTAGTTTTAAATAGAGGGCTAAGATTGAATATTTCTTGGGAGAAATTTAGAGTCTCATAATGGGACTAATCCAAGTTTTATTAAGCAACTTTTGGGAATCATTCCTCTCTTTTGGGGATTCAGTGTGAGTGTTTGAGTTAATCTTTTAGCTTAATTTAGCTTTCTAATTCTCGTTAACGGATTTTCCTTTTTTGTCATATGCTAATTGCGTTACATCTTTTGCTTCTATGTTTCGTTAGCAATATAGTTCACTAGATCTCATAATTGACCCATTGCTACCATGGCATCATTTTTTTCCTCCCTAGTCTTTTGAAATTTCATATTTCTCTAGGAATTTTAATGAAAGAGAAAATCTTTTAAGTTCTTAATCGATAGCTATTCAAACTATTGAGTCCTCAAACATGATTTAGAAGTTCAAGGCATCTTTAAGGGATCAATGATGCGTGGTTACTTGTAAATAAGAAGCTTAGTAAAAATGAAATGAATGGAAAGAAAGGCCGTTATCTTTTCTTCACCCATAATAGCGTATCTTTTCTAAAAGTACGATAGATTGTATGTATTATTTGTTCTTTATATTGCTCTAGTGTGTCAAATTATAGAATAAACTATTGCTGATGTTAGAATATCTAACCAAAAACCAATTAATAATGGAGACTCTTTAAGCATAAAAAGCAACCTTGGATGACACTAATCATTTGATGTGGGCTGCAAGCTCTCTTTACACCTTCCTTCACGTGGGATTCGGGCTTGCGCGTGTGACTACCAAACAAACAGACAAACACGCTGACCAAAAAATTCAGATGGGTAAGAGACTTAAGTCACTTAACCCACTGATACCCAAGGTTCTCCTCTAATACCATGTTAGAACATCTGCCCCAAAACTAATTATTTATGAGTGGATAGACCCCTCAAGCAAATAAACTAGTTTTGTGTGATCCTAATCATTTGTTGTGGAATATAAGCTTTCTTTACACCAATGATCGAAATATCGTTTCAAAACTGTCGAAACGTCCGAAACGTTTTCGTTTTCTAGGAGACCGAAACAAAACAGTGATGAAATTTAAATTTTGATATTTCGAGATATTCTATAATATTTTTAAATGTATTATAATATTTCAATGCATTTGCACAATTGTTTTAGAATATTTCAAAGTATTTTAAGATATTTTGATATATTTCC